ATGTTCCAGGGTTCTTGCGGACAATGTGACATATCAGATCATATGCACTCCTACACAATATTTGTAAATATGAGGGAGGGGGGGAAAAAGGGATACTGTTTACCCTTCTTGTAAAGTCATACATTTTATGCATGCCATTTTCTAGTTAAGAAAACTTTGCACTGTAAGGGTAGGTTAATAAATCGGATATTCCATTGTTGACTCACATCACATCCAGACGGGCCCACGACCCGATGCAAACTCAAAATCAAAAGATAATACGGTGTCACTTTTTATAAATTCCTTTATCATTCGTTCCTCAAAATTATCATCATTAAACATCTGCACATATCCCTACATTAACTTGATTCACACCAAGAGTCGAGTTCGAATTGAGAAATAAAGAACATTTTCACTATGTCTTCTACAAATCTCTGGCTCACTTGTGCAAAATACTCTTCTTCGAAAGCTTTGGTTTCTTCTGACTGTAGTTCTACCACAAAACCATAGAATGGAACAGATACACAAAAGGTAAGTACATATTACAGTATGGCAAGCGGGAAATTTGAAACTACACGGCACAAGTGGAAATAATACCTTTTGTCTGTCTAGTGCGTCATAATCTATCCTCTCCCTCCAGTTACTTTTGCGAAGTTTGATTGGCCGATTTCCCACATATTTACCTGGAATTTGAGACAATTACATTATGACAGTTATCATATGAATCAAAGTCAAACAATATCAACAACACTCAATATGATTACAACCTACTTCCCACAGAAATGGTATGCCCAATTATTCTTACCATTCATTTCCTTGAGTGCTCCGGCCAGGTCAGAAGGGTTGGCAAAGCTAACAAATCCAAAGCCCTTGGTTTTGCCAGTCCTCTTATCTCTAACGACCTAGATATGGTGATAAAGTTGACATATACAAGTTCTTAGTTTTCAATCACAGTAAAAAATCATAAATTCTATGAGAAAAAGTAGATGAATCAAAAGCAGCTACAAACTGCACAATCAGCAAAAGATTATAGCTGCGATCCATGCAGTCAACATAAATATCTCACACAATGACAACAAGAAGCAAAGCATAAGATACACAAGACTAAAGAAGAAAAAAAAACAAAGTATAATTTCAATTTCGTACCATGCTCTAGCTTGGATACCCATTGGCCCAACTCCCATATTCCTCTACACCCCCCTTGCCCCACCACTCTGGTTCTCTCAAATGGAAACAAGCCTTGATGCAGCAACGGAAAGACTTTAGATGTGTTTCAAATTTTAATTTTAGTTCCAAGACATCAGATATAGTTTTTTAGGGCCATAATGCAAAATTGAATGGAGCCAACTCTTGTATGATTTTGAAGGTTGAGTGGCAAGGAAATCCAGTGTTAAATGGTTCTAAACTCAATTGTCTAACAGTTGTTAAATATTTTTATGTTAAAAGGACAAAATCAAAATTTCAAATTTCTTACACAGAATTTCACCGACCAACAAAAGTAATTATAGAGTACTGTTTTCCCGAGCCCAAAAGAAAGGCTAAAGACCCACCCCTAAGGTTCATAAAAATATTGAGAAAAAGAACCCGCTCGGAAGCTCAATCGGTTCACTAACCTGACTCCAAACTTGTTCAATCGACCCAACAAGCAATAACTCAAGCTAGCCCATGAGAGTCAGGTCAAATTCAACCAAATCAAGCTCCAAATGTTGATTCCAGCAGTCCAACCTATATTAAATGGTCAAACCTGATTTAAACTAACTTTGAGATCTCACAATTAGACAGCAAGCGCTTGAAAATCACATAATTTCATGTCGGTTGTCAGTACACCTCTTACGGTTAAATGTTAGAAGTACATGAACTCAGAGAAATGCAAAAATGCATCATGAACACTATTCATAAGGTCACACATCTAACTAAAATGTAAACAGTAGACGAAACCTACCTTAGAATAAATAAAACATTAAGTGCTCTGTTCTCTTGAAATATAAATCTGAAGAGGAAATGTAAAATGTTTACACCAAGCAAACAATTTCAATCAAGAAAATAACTTCAAAGGAAGAAAGAGAAAAGGTATCTGAGGAAGATACTTACTCTGGCCATGTTAAAGGAAGGAAATCGTGAAAATGCTTTTGAAAGGACATCATCATTCACCTCATTACCAAGATCACCACAAAATAGGCGATAATCATCTGTCAAAGCCAAAACCCAACAGAATTGTAAGGCATGAAGATGCACCAAACAGAAGACGAATCGTGAACACACTAACGTTGCGAATGAACAACATGTTAAAACACCCAAAAAAACTATCATGAAAACCAAACCCCATGAAGAGTGAGGCTTTTAACAAGGTATCACATATCTGTTCTATCAGTTGACTAAGTAGCCAGAAGGGCAACATCATAACTGGCATTGTAGGAATAAATAGATAAAATTGAAATGGCACGCAATCATGGTATTGAATGTTAATGTTCGTGTATGCACGAATATATGTGGAAGAATATACAACTAATTTGATAAGGGAAAGTTTAATAGTGAAAGCATGCATACTTTCTGGCCATTCTGCAAGAGTTGGGTCCTCCCAAGACTGCCCAGCAGCTTTACGAGGGATGGCTTTCTTCTTAGCTTCAGCTTTGTGCTCGATTTCACTGTTTGCCAGGGCAGCTTTCACACTCTCAAGAGCTTCAGGTGTAATCGTCTGTGCATCCCTTTGAAATAACTGCTGAGCCTGTTCATTTCACAACAAATTATATACATGAAACCTACACATCCAAACAATTTCCCCTAAAATAGCAAGAATTGATAAGTAGCTCTATGCAAGTTACAGAAATATCCTACTTTTGACGAAAGAATAAAACAATGAAAGAAATCCCATTCTATTTATTCTCAGTTATTCAGGAGATCAGACATTGGTTAATAAACCTAAACATATGCATATATGCATCCAAGAGTACATGCATGTAAAGACATGTGCGTGATGAGGGTTTGAGACAGACCTGTTGATACTGCTGAGGGAGAGAGTAGACACCAGAGGTCGGCGCCGGGGCCGGGGCTGGGTAGACGGGCGGGGCTGGTGGCGCTGCAGCGGCGTAAGGCGTGGGATACTGGGGTTGCTGGAGGTGAAAGGGCATGGGGAAGTAGGACGATGACGACGAAGCGTTCGCGTATGTGAATTGAGAGGAAGTCGACGCAGGAGCTGTGGAAGAAGACGGTGGGGTCGCCATGGGCGATATCGGAACTAAGCTGAAGCTAGGGTTTTGAATGGGCAGGAATCGGGTACAATCGGGATCG